TTTAACTTATAGAAATTGATAGATATCCCTCAAAGTCATCTTCATCAAATTTGAATACTACAATTGATTCAAATTCCTTTGAAATGGTCTATACAACTATTCCAAGATATACTTTAAGCAAAAATTCAACTTATACATTTTAAGTCACTGCAACTAATTTAAATTCTAACATATCTAATAATTTATATTTTACTTTTGAAACTAAAATGGCTGGATTGTTTTGTTAGTTCAACAATCAAGGAATTTAGAATATTAGAAGAGATTTAAATCTCTAAATATAATGTGAAGATTTTGATTCAAAATATGAAAGGTAAAGTGATCCAGACTTAAATATTGAAGTAGCTTGTAAAGATTTATCATTTAATACTTCATGCAAAAATGAATAAAAATAAATAATAAATGTAAATAAAACTGATTCTTTTCAATTCATTTAAAAGAATACAATATCCACCTTTACTGTCTAAGAATGGACAGTAACTGCTAAAAAATTTCAATAAATTTCTAATTTTGCTTTTGTTATTGTTTATCTTGATGATGATTTTCCTTAATTAGAATTATAATTCAATAAAGGTTATTTAATGAGGAAAATCAATAATTATGAATTACTAAATTTTACATATCTAATTCCTTTTGAAAAGAAAATTCATTTATTAGATCTAACAATTACAATTATTTATGACTATTAGATAATAGAAATATTGCAACCAAAATTCATTTCTCATCACTTCAAGATATTTAATAGCATTAAAGAATTAAATTTTGGCGAAAAAATAAATCTTAAATTTGCAGCTTAATATACTAATAATATCATGCCAAGCATAAATAATATAAAATTATCTATTAATTAGCCTGCTAAATGTTCTAAATTACTTATTAATCGTTAAAGCGACTTTGCACTTACTGATTTTTTAGTAGCAACAACTTGTGAATAATCAAATGATTCTCCTTATAAATATTAGCTTAGATAATTCTTGAGAGAATCTGATTTAACAGATTTTTTAAATGGAATATCAGATAATTCTTTAATTTTCTATCCATTTTAAACTTAAAATTAATTCTCAATTTAAGCTCCTTCTTCTATTGACTCTACAAAAATTGGAATTTTAGTAGAAGTTCTTGATAATGGGGGATCAATAACTCATAAATTTGAAAAAATTTCAATTAAACCTGCAAAAATAAATTGTTTATCAATACAATTTAAAAATTTAACTTTATAAAACAAAATAACTCTGCTATTTGAAGCAATGAATCAAAAATGCGATGAGCTTCATTAATAAATTTATCTTGATTTGATCAAATCTTAAATTTTGCCAGAAAAGAATGCGAATATATTGAAATTTTAAGCTAATAAATTATATTAATAGTTCTTAATCTCTTAAGAAGAAAATAAAACTAAAAATCGATTGTTGTATGAAGAAATTCAAAAAAAATGTTTAGATCTAAATTCAAACCATTTATTTATTACTTAAAATTCCACATAACTTGAAGTAAATATAACTCAAAAGATAGAAAATTTCAAAAAAAATAGTGAAGATTTTAATAGAATTTAAAAATATTTTATTAAAATGAAAAAACAATGCGAATAGGAGCTTTAATAAAATTCATATATTTGGAATGAATAAATCTTTTAATAATATTTAAATTCGTAAGATTGCTTAAAAAGTTTAATATACTATCTTGATGATATCTACTCTGATTTTTCATTAATAAATATAAAAGATGAAACTATAGATCAAATTATTGAGGAGTTGTTAAGATTTTTTGATATAATTGCAGAAGAAACCCAAAATATTATATTAGTAAACGAAAAGCCTTTAGTTATTAAAGGTTTTGAAATTATTTGGAAAATCAAAAGAAGAACTAAATAATTATTCAATCAATAATTTAATATCCAATAAACTTAAGAAGATTACCTAATAGATTTTATTTAATTTGAATATGCTTATTTGTAAACAAATCCTCTAAGATTTAACTTGAATCTGGAAGAACTACTCAAAACATATTTTAATGACCAAACAATACAAATATCCCCAGATAATTACTATCAAATTAAGTTGAAAAACTTTTATAATAGAAGATTTTAAGAATATGAAAATTTTTCATCTATTTATGACACACAATTTGGATCCTATCAAGTATGCTAAAATACTTCATAACTCTTATCTGAATATGAAATATATTGTGTAATTAGAACAATAACTGGAAAATTTTATTAGTGTAATTTGAATAGAGTATAAAATAACAATAGAATTGAGTTACATTGTGAATGTGATAAGTTTGGTGAGATTTTCCTTACAACCTCTACGAAATTAATTGTAAATGCAAGTGAATCTCCTAAATAAATATATAATCTTGAATTAGCTTCCAAATCTGAAGACAATATTACCTTTATTACTTAGTACATGTTCTTTGTCATTAATATTTCTGAGCATTTTTATTTATCAATTATATAAAGATAAAAAAGTCTAATAAGAGAGGTTTGATACCGAATAAAGTAATTTGAATCCACCAATTATTAAAAAAAAAAAATAGTTTAATATATCATGGTACTTCTAAAGTGTATATAGAAAAATTTAAGGTAACACTTAATTTTATATTAGCAAATCCATTAAACTATTTCATTATTTTATTATAAAGACAAAAATATTGAATTTAGTTATAGAATTTTAGAAGTATTCTCTTAATTCAATTTATAATTAACTTTAACAATTCTTGAATGTTATTTGTTAAATAATTAAGTTCTTTTGATTTGTGTTTTCATAATCCTCAACCCTTTAATCATTTTGTTGATGAGAATATTTTATAAAATAATTGAAGCAATATATAGGTTCAAAAGAATCGCTGCTTTTATTAGCCACCTTCTACAAATCATATTATTGATGTCCCCAAATCTTATCATCTATATTTTTTACATATCAAAGTATCTATTAAACTAATCATAGAATTTCAATGCAATCAGAATAATATATATTTGCCATTATATATTTAGGAAATATTCTAATTTCACAAATCCTAATAGAACCGCTTACAGTATTTGGAAGAATATTAATTTATAGGTTAATAGCTAAAAGTCTTAAAAACATGGATTTAAATCCTGTGTTTCATTTAATGCACTTTTTTGTTATGCATAGCAGTTTAGAAGAAATATTTGAAGAATTCACAAAAATTTGATAATAAAATCATTCAAATATTTTTATTAATTTCATTTTCTATATTATTCATTTTAGTTATATTGCTATATTAATATAGATCTGCGATCATTGAAAATTTTTTTTTTTTTAAATATCTGATGGCTAAGCTATTGATTTTGTGATATCTCAGAAGCTTGAAATATTATATTTAACTATGTCATCATAAAAGTTAAATTGAAAAGAGAATCTTCAATCATTATTATAATACTTAAAATTTCCAATTCATATATATAAATAGAATGGAAATTTAAGATGTTGTTGTTAAAAAAGAAGAATTAAAAATATCACCCTCCAAAATTTTTTTGAAACTCATTTAGTTTTGGAGGATTGGATCTAAAAAGATTAAGTTTTTTAAAATGGTCCCCATATATAAATTAAATATATAAAATAAGATGTTATTTTTAGATCTGGTTACTATAAGTTAAATTCGAAATTTATCTGATAGAAGCAAAACCATATATTAAACATCATTGTCAAACTTTTTAAAAGCCACACACATATAATACATTATAAAACTATTTCTGAGTTGGAAACTTAATTTAATAATAACTACAGCCAGAGAATTGTTTGGTATTCCATTCTTCAGGATGAATCATTAGAACGTAAACTTAATTAAAAATGACACCATTCAATAGCCCAAATTAATTAACTTCACATGATCTTTCTACAATAAACAAGAGAGGAAATATTTTAGTAGTCATTAGTTTACAATTACATTAATATAATTATGGAACCAAAACTTTTGATTTCAGATATAAAAAAAGAACAGCTGCTTTAATAACTCGACTAAAATTTGTTTCATATATAATTGGGCTATATTCAGTCAAACCCTAACCTTCTTGATTTGAAAATCTTAAATCTCTGATAGTTATTGCTTTAAAGCTTCTATTTTTTAAATCTTATCACAGATTTTTTATTTTGATTTAGTAAGTATTGTTTTTGAAGACTTCTGATTAAACTATCGTTTTTTCAACAAAACTTCCGCCAATCAAAAGAGAAGTTCATTAAAAAACTTCATAATCCTATTTGGAATTTAAAATTAAGATCAGATTCATTCTTATTTTGATGCGCCATTAAAAATTAAACTAATAGTTCTATCTTCTGCTAATTCTATATCTTGATATCAATACTCCAAATATTCAGCTTCATTTGGTGCTCTAACTTTTTCTTCTTTCAAAAATAAAAGACCCTTCCTTAATTTTATAACATCTTTATCTTAACAAGGAGGACATAAAGGCACTACTCTTGAAATTTTATATCCAATCGGATGTGCTATGTATCAAAAATATGTATTCCTATCATTTTTTATGATACAAATACATCTTTAAACTATAACTCTATCCAATTCACTTTCTAATTCAATTATTTATCTACCGAATTTATTTTCTAATCTATCAAAATCTTGGACTCATACTAAGAATCTTTCTCTATCAAATTCTAAATCTTTAATTCAATAGTCCCTTTAATAATATAATAATCTCTTAAATTCTGATTATCCGAATTTTATTCATTCAATTCTCTTTAATAAAAAGAACTTATTCATATAGATCATTTTAAAATTGATTTAATTAACCTTTTATCTATATAATAAAATATAGCATCTCTTTGAATAATTTATTAAATTTCATATAGTTCTCCTACTTTATCATTTCTAGAATTATCACATATTTTTTTGATTAATTGATTTCATTAACTAAGATCATGCATCTTTCTTAAGTTTTTAAATGTTATTCTTCTTGTATTTTTAATCGATCTTCAATCCATTTAATATTTCATCTTTTTAATTAGCTAAATTTTATTTACCTTTATCTTAGCTTCAGCTTCTGGAACAGATTGAATAATGATGTTTATTCTACCAGATTTCCATCTCTTATTTGATTTTTCTATTTTCGTTTACCATTGCATTTTTTCATTTTTAATGTTATCCTTCTGCTTTTAAAATGTAATTACTTCACTTTTCTTTTTTAATAGCTTCTTTTTAATTTAAACATTATCAACTCTTAAAGATATTGTCAATTATTCAAATTTACTTAATAGTGTTTTTTTCTTTTTTTCCTTCTTTACTCTTTCTGCTTCCTTCATTTATGCTAAAGTTGAGGATGGTCATGAATATTAATCTGTTTACATTTTTTCAATACTCCTTTCCATTTTTTAGAATCTTGAGGCTGTGATTATGTAAATATAGTGTTTTCTTAATCTATATTTTAGTCTTATTTTTAATTTTATTTCGTTTCTAATTCTTTCTATTTTAATTTGAGTTCTAATTCTATTTTTCTTTACTTTAATTTCATAAATTCATCTTATTTTATTCTAGCAAAAGATTTTAGTTAAGGTAACCTAGATGGAGAATATTCTTAAGCATAATATATTTAATTAAGAAATTTATTTTTTCTGTTAAAATAATATTCCTCATTATCTCAAAACAAATAAAATGAAGTATGAATCAAAAAGAATCAATAAATAAACAAATTAAAGTTAATATTTCATCCGTTTGCAGCTGTTTACAATCTTTACTTTTTAATTTTACCTCCTTTTAATTTCTTTAAACCATATCGCTCTTTATATATTAATTATTTATATTTATAAAATCTTACTCCAATTATTATCAAGAGCATCTGGTTATTCTAACTTCTTTATCTCATTACTGCTATCTATTATTCTATAATAATCTAATCTTTATAAATATATTTTATCTTTATTTCCCATATTGTTATTACTAATATAAAAAGTACTCATTCTCTCTGTCATTTTTTATTCACCATTAGGTTTTTTTTATTTAAGTTTCTTCACTATAAACCTTTTCAAAATACCATGTTCTCCTTCTTCTGAATCTCAATATAAAAAAATTACTTCTTTAATATGCCTTATTCCTACTTATGGTTCTCTATAAATCAGGTGAATTGTCATTCATTCTTGGAAATTGGAAATGGGAAATGTCCCTCTAAAAAATTGAAATAAATGAATTTATCATTTATGGATTTTTATTAAACTCAACTGATTGACCTGGTTCAGTTATTAATAATTAATCTGAGTAGACTCCAGGTGCAGGAGTATGATTCTATCATAACTTAAATACTTTAAATATACATCTTTATAGAAATGTTATCTCCTAGAAGTTAAAAAGGCTCTGCTAAATTGAGTTTTCGGAACATACTTTTTTGTATTCTCTAAACTCTTTAATGAAACCTTAATCAGCTTAAAAATTGATTTTAAAATTTCTGAGCCTTTATTAAAAAAGATAGCTTAATCTTGTGGAGTTATATCTTTTTTTTTAAGGCAGAGTATATTAGTAGTACTCCACTTAAAAGTATGATTTATAAACGGCACTGTTTCTTTCTAGTATGCAAATCTACTTATTAACCTAAAAGAAAATGAAATTTAGATGTATTATCATCACTTTTGGTTCTTTAAATTCGTTTTCCAATAGAGTTTCTTTCATTTAGAAGGGTTAGAAATTATTCTTTGGATTATCTTTACTTAAAATTATTGATAATTTTAGACTAAATACAAATAACTGGCAATTAATTGGAGACACCAACTTTATTATAATAAATTATATCAATTGTACTATGATCTATGCGAAATATATTTTCTAAAATTTATGATATCATAATTTTTACTGTAAATCTTTTAATATTGTTACATAATCAAAATTAGGAGAGTTCTTTTGGAGCATTCTTTCAGTGTAAGAAGTAAAATTTATCAAGAAAATTTATGATTATATAATACTCTTCATTTTGTTTAATTTGTCTTTTTAGGTCATATTACTAAGACATCACATGAATTGACTCTAAAGATTAAAAAAAAAATATGATTTATAAGAAGGTAGAAACTATTAATAAAATTGTAAGCCATTTTAAAACTTTAAATCTATATAATATTTTTTCATAAATTATTATATTTAATTAAAATTTACTAACAAAGGTAAATTATAAATTTGATTAAGAGGAGTGATATATATAATGAGATTAGACAATTAATAATAGATCCTAAAATTTATCATAATATCAGTCATGAAATAATTCTAAAGTAAGAAATTCAATATTATTTCTAAAAAATAGAGATAAAGATGAAGCAGCTATTCTATTTGATCTTAATGAATGTTAAATTATATCTTAACAGATAGAATAGAGATATTATATTAAATAGGATTTGCATAGAATGAGATTGGAAATAATGAATAGATATTCTTGGATTATAATAAAGCCCTTTCTGTTAGATCTTAAAAATCAAAACAGTAACAATCAAAATAATATTGAATAGGAATTTTATTTAAATACATTGGAAATTAAGAAGAGGCATTCGACCCTATGAATAGTAAGTCGAATTTAACAGAGGTAACAGTCTTTATATATCGGTAGGAATCTTGTATGATGTAATTGTGAATAAAGAATATGCACTTATAGATTATAAAAATGCAATTTGATTAAATCCAACGAATAGTATATTTTTTTTATAAAAAAATAATCAATAATTTATTTTGATTAGGAGTACATTAAGAAATATAGATTAGACACACCAAGATTTTGCAAAGTCCATTCAATTTACTTTGTATGTTCTTGCTTATACAAGCATACTAATAAATGTTTTATCTCAATAGGTTCTAAATATTTGTTAATGGGAAAAATAGAGTATAGTAGACTCAAAGATTTAATATTAAGGTAATTCTTATTATAATTTTAGTAATAAAAATATTCTACACTGATTAGAAGGCAGATTAGATATAAGGGAAATAATCAATAAATTATCCTCAATTGAGGAATGGCCAATTTGATTTAATATTAAAGATCTAAAATCTCATTGTAATATAAATTCAAATAAGGTTTAGTCCTTTCTGATTATTTAAAAGCAAAGGATCTGGATTAAGAGAATCGTTTCGGCTATCAATTTAAAAATAACTTTATTTGTTTAATAAAATATTTCATTTGCTTCTAAAAAAGGCAATGCTAATATATTTAAAAGGAATTAATCTGGAGGAATTGTTTTATTAAATCAATAAAACAATTCAAATTTATACCAATTGATTAAAATTGGATATTTTAATATAATCTTACATCTAATTAGATTAATCAATTTTAGATAACATTTAAGAGAGTGCAATCAAGAATTTACAATACTTAGAAGGGTTAAAATACTTGTGGGCGATGTGATAGATTAATAATGAAGTATGTATGGCGAATACAATTGCTCTGATTCAGAAGAGACCAGAAAAATTTTAGATATGATATAACCCCTTATAATTTTTTTTCATTTTTAGTATCTTAGATTTAGAAAAAAATTTACTAATATCATCAATTGACTTGCAAAACAATAATATTATAGGTTTAAATTGGAGCGTGATTAATAATATCATGATTTTTTAAAGAAATTTAGGAAGAAAATATTATACATTGGAAAAATGCAACAAAGGTTGCATAGTTCACAAAAATGATAATTTGTTATGCAGACCTCACAAACAAAATTAAATGTGTAATTCTAGATTCATGATTTTTGAGAAATCAAATACTTCCATACCCTATTGATACCACTACAATAGAATATCAGGAATTTAAATATCTCTTTGTTAAATAACAAAGACAAAATATTCAAAACTACTATGAAGGAAAATTTTAGTTGTTCACTTATTTAACTCAGAATTAAGTGATAGAAGTAATTTCATTCAATAAGTAAGGATTTCAATCATAATAAGAATTCATGCAATTTATAAGAATAATCACATTTTGAAAGTAGAGAAGATTTGTAAATGGTTAAGCTTTAAAAAAAGATATAGACAATTCTGTGTGATAATAAAAATAATTATATAAAAGAAATTAAAAATTTTCGAAGATTTCTTTGAGTTGATGAAATCAAAAGTCTTACATATAATAGATGCTTTAAGCAGAAATTTTATATAATATCAATAAGAGTAATCCTATATTGATAGAATGAGTATCTCTATTAAATGCAAGTATTTAAATTGAGAAAGTTCTCTATATATCTACCTTTGAGATGAAATAATAAAATTTGATTTCTCCCTTTAAACTTTTTTTTTCTAATAGATTATAGATTTTCAATAACTATACAATCATATATTATTGGTATTTAATTTATTCTAATATAAAAGCGATTGGATTTTAGATGGTAAACATCTTATGTTAAATAAATAATTGTTTAAAGGAATTACAAAATAGTTTAAACAATCCTAAGTGTTTTCAAAAAGAGCTCAATAATATATGCAAGTTTGGATGAGTGTTTTATAAACTATTGCTAAGCACCTATATTATCAAAATGAGAATGAAACAAAAATCTATTTAGAAACTTGACAGAATCTAATTTAAAAGGATTAGAGGAAGTCTATACGACTATGTGTTATTACACTTGATAACAAAAAGCAAAAATAGATGGTCATAATGGAGCTGTCTTGTCAGTATGCTACTCTCACGAGAAAGTAACTAAGTATCTTGTAATGGTAGAGATGATAAGTCTATCCATTTATAGGATGTTAAGGCATGAGTCGTATCCTGAATAAACATAACTAATATGTCCATCTAATTTAGATTTTTGTTTTAAATGATGGTACTATATTATCATTTTGTTGTTAGAAATAAGTATATTCTATTATGTGATGCTAAGATAGTGTACTTTAGAGAATGTTCTATTCAATTTAATTTGATAAAATTAACCTTAATGTGACCAATAATTCCAATAACCAATAATGCATAAGAGGTTTTCATAATTTAGTTTTAATATTATCGAGATATATTTGTATATACATAATATCACTATTTTTTCAAAATTCCTATATAAAAATTGATGTACAAATTTATTAAGATTATAAAAAGATATCAAATTTGTATTATACAAAGAAATGTAAAGTCTTAATCCAAAAGTATATTTATTTTTAAATAGATTATTTCCATTAAGACTTGGATTTAATTTATTTAATATCATTATGAAGGGGAAAATTATTTATATA